CCCCAGCTGCTCCTGGGCGGGCACTCAAGGGCGCCTCCGCCAATAGGAGGGCCCCCAGGTTCGCCACCGACCCTGGGAGCGCCAATGCCGCTAACAAAAGCCCGGGCTGTGGGCGCCACTGCCCCTAGGAGCGCTATTGCCCGTGCCAGGAACCCTCGGGACGCCAACGCTTCTGGAAGGAAGCTTGAAGGCGCCACCGTCCATGGGAGGGCCCATGGAGGTACCATCGCACCTAGCAAGGCCCATAGGTGCGCCAACACCCTTTATGGAGGACTTCTGGGGACACCGCCGCCCTTGGGAGGGCCTCCTAAGGACGTCGCCGCCCCGATGATTGTCCATAAAGGGGACTATGTATCTGGGAGGGCCCCTGGAGGCTCCGTTTCACCTGTAAGAACCCCTGGGATGCCATCACCCTAAAAAAGGACCCCTGTGATAGCAGATACCCCTCAGAGGGCCTCTGTGGGTACCACTGCCCTTGGGAGGGCGTTTGTGGGCGACACCACCCCAGTGAATTTTCCTGGAGGCACCACCACTCCTGGGAGGGACCTTGGAGGCGCTGCCGCCCCTTAGACGGCACCTAGGGATGCCGCCGGAACTGGGAAGGTCCTTGGGGGCGCCGACAGCCCTGGGAGTACCCCTGAGGGCGCCCCCACGCCTGTGAGGTCCATTGGCGGCGCACCAGCACCTAGCAGGTCTCCTGGGGGCAGTTGTTTTTGCTTTATTTAGAACTCTTGGAGATATTTTGAGGTTAAATATATACGATGCCAATCGCATTTCCAGTATCATTTCATCCTGAACAATGTAAAGCAGAACAAATATCCAACAGCAACACATAAGTTGGGGTGTTGTGTTGACTGACTGCTGTTCTCCTATTGGCTGTAGTTCGGTGGATTTACGTTTTAGTCCACCAATCACAGTTAAGTATGGGATTGTTGGACATGCACGACAGAACGACCTTACCAAGCTATAGAGCTCCCAGGAGGGTCGCCTCTGGTAGGGCCCTTGGGGACTCTGCCGTTCCTGGGAGGGCCACTAAGGGCGCCACCGCCCTTGGGAGGGTTCGTGAGGGCGCTGCCACACATTGGTAGGTCCCGTAGGGGCAAGCTGCCCAGGGCAGGGCCCCAGCTGCTCCTGGGCGGGCACTCAAGGGCGCCTCCGCCTATGGGAGGGCCCTTAGGGCCGCCACCGCCCCTAGGAGCGCTCATGGGGGCGCCATTGCTCCTAGTAGGTCCCATAGGTGCGCCAACACCCTTTATGGAGGACCTCTGGGGGCGCCGCCGGCCTTGGGAGGGCCTCCTAGGGACGTCGCCGCCCCGATGATTGTCCATAAAGGGAACCACGTATCTGGGAGGGCCCATGGAGGCGCCATTTCACTTGTAAGAACCCCTGGGATGCCATCATCCCTAAAAGGGCCGCTGTGGTAGCAGATACCCCGCAGAGGGCCTCTGTGGGCACCAATGCCCTTGGGAGGGCGTTTTTGTTCGACACCACCCCAGGGAATTTTCCTGCAGGCACCACCACTCCTGGGAGGGCCCTTGAGGGCGCTGACGCCCCTTAGAAGGCACCTAGGGATGCCACCGGAACTGGGAAAGTCCTTGGGGGTGCCGACTGCCCTGGGAGGGCCCCTGAGGGCGCCCCCACACCTGTGAGGTCCATTGGTGGCGCACCAGCACCTAGCAGGTCTCCTGGGGGCAGTTGTTTTTGCTTTATTTAGAACTCTTGGAGATATTTTGACGTTAAATAAATACGATTCCAATCGCATTTCCAGTATCATTTCATCCTGAACAATGTAAAGCAGAACAAATATCCAACAGCAAAACATAAGTTGGGGTGTTGTGGTGACTGACTTCTTTGTTCTCCTATTGGCTTAGTTCGGTGGATTTTACATTTTTAGTCCTGTCGCGGTTAAGTATGGGATTGTTGTTGGACATGCGACAAACATACCAAGCTATAGAGCTCCCAGGAGGGTCTCACTTTCTGGTAGGGCCCTTAGGGGACTCTGCCGTTCCTAGGGGTATTCACTAAGGGCGCACCGCCATTGGGAGGGTTCGGGCGCTGCCTGCCACACATTAGTAGGTCCGTGGAACAAGCTGCCAGGGCAGGGCCCAGCTGCTCCTGGGCGGGCACTCAAGGGCGCCTCCGCCTATGGGAGGGCCCTTCGGGCCGCCACCGCCCCTAGGAGCGCTCATGGGGGCGCCATCGCACCTAGTAGGTCCCATAATTGCGCCAACACCCTTTATGGAGGACCTCTGGGGGCGCCGCCGGCCTTGGGAGGGCCTCCTAGGGACGTCGCCGCCCCGATGATTGTCCATAAACGGAACCACGTATCTGGGAGGGCCCATGGAGGCGCCATTTCACTTGTAAGAACCCCTGGGATGCCATCATCCCTAAAAGGGCCGCTGTGGTAGCAGATACCCCGCAGAGGGCCTCTGTGGGCACCAATGCCCTTGGGAGGGCGTTTTTGTTCGACACCACCCCAGGGAATTTTCCTGGAGGCACCACCACTCCTGGGAGGGCTCTTGAGGGCGCTGACGCCCCTTAGAAGGCACCTAGGGATGCCGCCGGAACTGGGAAAGTCCTTGGGGGTGCCGACTGCCCTGGGAGGGCCCCTGAGGGCGCCCCCACACCTGTGAGGTCCATTGGTGGCGCACCAGCACCTAGTAGGTCTCCTGGGGGCAGTTGTTTTTGCTTTATTTAGAACTCTTGGAGATATTTTGACGTTTAATAAATACGATTCCAATCGCATTTCCAGTATCATTTCATCCTGAACAATGTAAAGCAGAACAAATATCCAACAGCAAAACATAAGTTGGGGTGTTGTGTTGACTGACTGCTGTTCTCCTATTGGCTGTAGTTCGGTGGATTTACATTTTAGTCCACCAATCACAGTTAAGTATGGGATTTTTGGTCATGCACGACAGAACGACCTTACCAAGCTGTAGAGCTCCCAGGAGGGTCGCCTCTGGTAGGGCCCTTGGGGACTCTGCCGTTCCTGGGAGGGCCACTAAGGGCGCCACCGCCCTTGGGAGGGTTCGTGAGGGCGCTGCCACCTCTGGTAGGTCCCATAGGGACAAGCTGCCCGGGGCAGGGACCCAGCTGATCCTGGGCGGGCACTCAAGGGCGCCTCCGCCAATAGGAGGGCTTCCAGGTTCGCCACCGACCCTGGGAGCGCCAATGCCGCTAACAAAAGCCCGGGCTGTGGGCGCCACTGCCCCTGGGAGCGCTATTGCCCGTGACAGGAACCCTCGGGACGCCAACGCTTCTGGAAGGAAGCTTGAAGGCGCCACCGTCCATGGGAGGGCCCATGGAGGTACCACCGCACCTAGCAGGGCCCATAGGTGCGCCAACACCCTTTATGGAGGACTTCTGGGGGCGCCGCCGCCCTTGGGAGGGCCTCCTATGGACGTCGCCGCCCCGATGATTGTCCATAAAGGGGACTATGTATCTGGGAGGGCCCCTGGAGGCTCCGTTTCACCTGTAAGAACCCCTGGGATGCCATCACCCTAAAAAAGGACCCCTGTGATAGTAGATATCCCTCAGAGGGCCTCTGTGGGCACCACTGCCCTTGGGAGAGCGTTTGTGGGCGACACCACCCCAGGGAATTTTCCTGGAGGCACCACCACTGCTGGAAGGGACCTTGGGGGCGCTGCCGCCCCTTAGAAGGCACCTAGGGATGCCACCGGAACTGGGAAGGTCCTTGGGGGCGCCGACAGCCCTGGGAGGGCCCCTGAGGGCGCCCCCACGCCTGTGAGGTCCATTGGCGGCGCACCAGCACCTAGCAGGTCTCCTGGGGGCAGTTGTTTTTGCTTTATTTAGAACTCTTGGAGATATTTTGAGGTTAAATATATACGATGCCAATCGCATTTCCATTATCATTTCACCCTGAACAATGTAAAGCAGAACAAATATCCAACAGCAAAACATAAGTTGGGGTGTTGTGTTGACTGACTGCTGTTTTCCTATTGGCTGTAGTTCGGTGGATTTGCATTTTAGTCCACCAATCACAGTTAAGTATGGGATTGTTGGACATGCACGACAGAACGACCTTACCAAGCTATAGAGCTCCCAGGAGGGTCGCCTCTGGTAGGGCCCTTGGGGGCTCTGCCGTTCCTGGGAAGGCCACTAAGGGCGCCACCGCCATTGGGAGGGTTCGTGAGGGCGCTGCCACACCTTGGTAGGTCCCGTAGGGGCAAGCTGCCCAGGGCAGGGCCCCAGCTGCTCTTGGGCGGGCACTCAAGGGCGCCTCTGCCTATGGGAGGGCCCTTAGGGCCGCCACCGCCCCTAGGAGCGCTCATGGGGGCGCCATCGCACCTAGTAGGTCCCATAGGTGCGCCAACACCCTTTATGGAGGACCTCTGGGGGCGCCGCCGGCTTTGGGAGGGCCTCCTAGGGACGTCGCCGCCCCGATGATTGTCCATAAAGTGAACCACGTATCTGGGAGGGCCCATGGAGGCGCCATTTCACTTGTAAGAACCCCTGGGATGCCATCATCCCTAAAAGGGCCGCTGTGGTAGCAGATACCCCGCAGAGGGCCTCTGTGGGCACCAATGCCCTTGGGAGGGCGTTTTTGTTCGACACCACCCCAGGGAATTTTCCTGGAGGCACCACCACTCCTGGGAGGGCCCTTGAGGGCGCTGACGCCCCTTAGAAGGCACCTAGGGATGCCGTCGGAACTGGGAAAGTCCTTGGGGGTGCCGACTGCCCTGGGAGGGCCCCTGAGGGCGCCCCCACACCTGTGAGGTCCATTGGTGGCGCACCAGCACCTAGCAGGTCTCCTGGGGGCAGTTGTTTTTGCTTTATTTAGAACTCTTGGAGATATTTTGACGTTAAATAAATACGATTCCAATCGCATTTCCAGTATCATTTCATCCTGAATAATGTAAAGCAGAACAAATATCCAACAGCAAAACATAAGTTGGGGTGTTGTGTTGACTGACTGCTGTTCTCCTATTGGCTGTAGTTCGGTGGATTTACATTTTAGTCCACCAATCACAGTTAAGTATGGGATTGTTGGTCATGCACGACAGAACGACCTTACCAAGCTATAGAGCTCCCAAGAGGGTCGCCTCTTGTAGGGCCCTTGGGGACTCTGCCGTTCCTGGGAGGGCCACTAAGGGCGCCACCGCCCTTGTGAGGGTTCGTGAGGGCGCTGCCACACCTTGGTAGGTCCCGTAGGGGCAAGCTGCCCAGGGCAGGGCCCCAGCTGCTCCTGGGCGGGCACTCAAGGGCGCCTCCGCCAATAGGAGAACCTCCAGGTTAGCCACCGACCTGGGGCGCCATGCCGCTAACAAAAGCCGGGCTGTGGGCGCCACTGCCCCTGGGAGGCGCTTATTGCCGTGAGCAGGAACCCTCGGGACATGGCAGCTTCTGGAAGGAAGCAGAGAGCGCCACCGTCCATGGGAGGCCAATGGAGGCTGCCATCGCGAGCAGGGCCCATAGGTGCGCCAACACCCTTTATGGAGGACTTCTGGGGGCGCCGCCGCCCTTGGGAGGGCCTCCTAAGGACGTCGCAGCCCCGATGATTGTCCATAAAGGGGACTATGTATCTAGGAGGGCCCCTGGAGGCTCCGTTTCACCTGTAAGAACCCCTGGGATGCCATCACCCTAAAAAAGGACCCCTGTGATAGTAGATACCCCTCAGAGGGCCTCTGTGGGCACCACTGCCCTTGGGAGGGCGTTTGTGGGCGACACCACCCCAGGGAATTTTCCTGGAGGCACCACCACTCCTAGGAGGGACCTTGGGGGCGCTGCCGCCCCTTAGAAGGAACCTAGAGATGCCGCCGGAACTGGGAAGGTCCTTGGGGGTGCCGACAGCCCTGGGAGGGCCCCTGAGGGCGCCCCCACGCCTGTGAGGTCCATTGGCGGCGCACCAGCACCTAGCAGGTCTCCTGGGGGCAGTTGTTTTTGCTTTATTTAGAACTCTTGGAGATATTTTGAGGTTAAATATATACGATGCCAATCGCATTTCCATTATCATTTCACCCTGAACAATGTAAAGCAGAACAAATATCCAACAGCAAAACATAAGTTGGGGTGTTGTGTTGACTGACTGCTGTTCTCCTAATGGCTGTAGTTCGGTGGATTTACATTTAGTCCACCAATCACAGTTAAGTGTATGGGATTGTTGGACATACGACTGAAACGACCTTACCAAGCTATAGAGGCTCCCAGGAGATTACGCCTCTGGTAGAAGACAGTGGGGACTCTGCCCGTTCCTGGGAGGGCCACTAAGGGCGCCACCGCCCTTGGGAGGGTTCGTGAGGGCGCTGCCACACCTTGGTAGGTCCCGTAGGGGCAAGCTGCCCAGGGCAGAGCCCCAGCTGCTCCTGGGCGGGCACTCAAGGGCGCCTCCGCCTATGGGAGGGCCCTTAGGGCCGCCACCGCCCCTAGGAGCGCTCATGGGGGCGCCATCGCACTTAGTAGGTCCCATAGGTGCGCCAACACCCTTTATGGAGGACCTCTGGGGGCGCCGCCGGCCTTGGGAGGGCCTCCGAGGCACGTCGCCGCCCCGATGATTGTCCATAAAGGGAACCACGTATCTGGGAGGGCCCATGGAGGCGCCATTTCACTTGTAAGAACCCCTGGGATGCCATCATCCCTAAAAGGGCCGCTGTGGTAGCAGATACCCCGCAGAGGGCCTCTGTGGGCACCAATGCCCTTGGGAGGGCGTTTTTGTTCGACACCACCCCAGGGAATTTTCCTGGAGGCACCACCACTCCTAGGAGGGCCCTTGAGGGCGCTGACGCCCCTTAGAAGGCACCTAGGGATGCCGCCGGAACTGGGAAAGTCCTTGGGGGTGCCGACTGCCCTGGGAGGGCCCCTGAGAGCGCCCCACACCTGTGACGTCCATTGGTGGCGCACCAGCACCTAGCAGGTCTCCTGGGGGCAGTTGTTTTTGCTTTATTTAGAACTCTTGGAGATATTTTGACGTTAAATAAATACGATTCCAATCTCATTTCCAGTATCATTTCATCCTAAACAATGTAAAGCAGAACAAATATCCAACAGCAAAACATAAGTTGGGGTGTTGTGTTGACTGACTGCTGTTCTCCTATTGGCTTTAGTTCGGTGGATTTACATTTTAGTCCACCAATCACAGTTAAGAAGGGATTGTTGGACATGCACTACAGAACGACCTACCAGGTTATAGAGCTCCCAGGAGGGTCGCTTCTGGTAGGGCCTCAGACTTCTGCCGTTCCTGGGAGGGCCACTAAGGGCGCCACCGCCCTTGGGAGGGTTCGTGAGGGCACTGCCACCCCTGGTAGGTCCCGTACGGACAAGCTGCCCAGGGCAGGGCCCCAGCTGCTCCTGGGCGGGCACTCAAGGGCGCCTCCGCCAATAGGACGGCCCCCAGGTTCGCCACCGACCCTGGGAGCGCCAATGCCGCTAATAAAAGCCCGGGCTGTGGGCGCCACTGCCCTTGGGAGCGCTATTGCCCGTGACAGGAACCCTCGGGACGCCAACGCTTCTGGAAGGAAGCTTGAAGGCGCCACCGTCCATGGGAGGGCCCATGGAGGTACCATCGCACCTAGCAGGGCCCATAGGTGCGCCAACACCCTTTATGGAGGACTTCTGGGGGCGCCGCCGCCCTTGGGAGGGCCTCCTAAGGACGTCGCAGCCCCGATGATTGTCCATAAAGGGGACTATGTATCTGGGAGGGCCCCTGGAGGCTCCGTTTCACCTGTAAGAACCCCTGGGATGCCATCACCCTAAAAAAAGGACCCCTGTGATAGTAGATACCCCTCAGAGGGCCTCTGTGGGCACCACTGCCCTTGGGAGAGCGTTTGTGGGCGACACCACCCCAGGGAATTTTCCTGGAGGCACCACCACTCCTGGGAGGGACCTTGGGGGCGCTGCCGCCCCTTAGAAGGCACCTAGGGATGCCGCCGGAACTGGGAAGGTCCTTGGGGGCGCCGACAGCCCTGGGAGGGCCCCTGAGGGCGCCCCCACGCCTGTGAGGTCCATTGGCGGCGCACCAGCACCTAGCAGGTCTCCTGGGGGCAGTTGTTTTTGCTTTATTTAGAACTCTTGGAGATATTTTGAGGTTAAATATATACGATGCCAATCGCATTTCCAGTATCATTTCACCCTGAACAATGTAAATCAGAACAAATATCCAACAGCAAAACATAAGTTGGGGTGTTGTGTTGACTGACTGCTGTTCTCCTATTGGCTGTAGTTCGGTGGATTTGCATTTTAGTCCACCAATCACAGTTAAGTATGGGATTGTTGGACATGCACGACAGAACGACCTTACCAAACTATAGAGCTCCCAGGAGGGTCGCCTCTGGTAGGGCCCTTGGGGACTCTGCCGTTCCTGGGAGGGCCACTAAGGGCGCCACCGCCCTTGGGAGGGATCGTGAGGGCGCTGCCACACCTTGGTAGGTCCCGTAGGGGCAAGCTGCCCAGGGCAGGGCCCTAGCTGCTCCTGGGCGGGCACTCAAGGGCGCCTCCGCCTATGGGAGGGCCCTTCGGGCCACCACCGCCCCTAGGAGCGCTCATGGGGGCGCCATCGCACCTAGTAGGTCCCATAGGTGCGCCAATACCCTTTATGGAGGACCTCTGGGGGCGCCGCCGGCCTTGGGAGGGCCTCCTAGGGACGTCGCCGCCCCGATGATTGTCCATAAAGGGAACCACGTATCTGGGAGGGCCCATGGAGGCGCCATTTCACTTGTAAGAACCCCTGGGATGCCATCATCCCTAAAAGGGCCGCTGTGGTAGCAGATACCCCGCAGAGGGCCTCTGTGGGCACCAATGCCCTTGGGAGGGCGTTTTTGTTCGACACCACCCCAGGGAATTTTCCTGGAGGCACCACCACTCCTGGGAGGGCCCTTGAGGGCGCTGACGCCCCTTAGAAGGCACCTAGGGATGCCGCCGGAACTGGGAAAGTCCTTGGGGGTGCCGACTGCCCTGGGAGGGCCCCTGAGGGCGCCCCCACACCTGTGAGGTCCATTGGTGGCGCACCAGCACCTAGCAGGTCTCCTGGGGGCAGTTGTTTTTGCTTTATTTAGAACTCTTGGAGATATTTTGACGTTAAATAAATACGATTCCAATCGCATTTCCAGTATCATTTCATCCTGAACAATGTAAAGCAGAACAAATATCCAACAGCAAAACATAAGTTGGGGTGTTGTGTTGACTGACTGCTGTTCTCCTATTGGCTGTAGTTCGGTGGATTTACATTTTAGTCCACCAATCACAGTTAAGTATGGGATAGTTAGTCATGCACGACAGAACGACCATACCAAGCTATAGAGCTCCCAGGAGGGTCGCCTCTGGTAGGGCCCTTGGGGACTCTGCCGTTCCTGGGAGGGTCACTAAGGGCGCCACCGCCCTTGGGAGGGTTCGTGAGGGCGCTACCACCCCTGGTAGGTCCCGTAGGGACAAGCTGCCTAGGGCAGGGCCCCAGCTGCTCCTGGGCGGGCACTCAAGGGCGCCTCCGCCAATAGGAGGGCCCCCAGGTTCGCCACCGACCCTGGGAGCGCCAATGCCGCTAACAAAAGCCCGGGCTGTGGGCGCCACTGCCCCTAGGAGCGCTATTGCCCGTGCCAGGAACCCTCGGGACGCCAACGCTTCTGGAAGGAAGCTTGAAGGCGCCACCGTCCATGGGAGGGCCCATGGAGGTACCATCGCACCTAGCAAGGCCCATAGGTGCGCCAACACCCTTTATGGAGGACTTCTGGGGACACCGCCGCCCTTGGGAGGGCCTCCTAAGGACGTCGCCGCCCCGATGATTGTCCATAAAGGGGACTATGTATCTGGGAGGGCCCCTGGAGGCTCCGTTTCACCTGTAAGAACCCCTGGGATGCCATCACCCTAAAAAAGGACCCCTGTGATAGCAGATACCCCTCAGAGGGCCTCTGTGGGTACCACTGCCCTTGGGAGGGCGTTTGTGGGCGACACCACCCCAGTGAATTTTCCTGGAGGCACCACCACTCCTGGGAGGGACCTTGGAGGCGCTGCCGCCCCTTAGACGGCACCTAGGGATGCCGCCGGAACTGGGAAGGTCCTTGGGGGCGCCGACAGCCCTGGGAGTACCCCTGAGGGCGCCCCCACGCCTGTGAGGTCCATTGGCGGCGCACCAGCACCTAGCAGGTCTCCTGGGGGCAGTTGTTTTTGCTTTATTTAGAACTCTTGGAGATATTTTGAGGTTAAATATATACGATGCCAATCGCATTTCCAGTATCATTTCATCCTGAACAATGTAAAGCAGAACAAATATCCAACAGCAACACATAAGTTGGGGTGTTGTGTTGACTGACTGCTGTTCTCCTATTGGCTGTAGTTCGGTGGATTTACGTTTTAGTCCACCAATCACAGTTAAGTATGGGATTGTTGGACATGCACGACAGAACGACCTTACCAAGCTATAGAGCTCCCAGGAGGGTCGCCTCTGGTAGGGCCCTTGGGGACTCTGCCGTTCCTGGGAGGGCCACTAAGGGCGCCACCGCCCTTGGGAGGGTTCGTGAGGGCGCTGCCACACCTTGGTAGGTCCCGTAGGGGCAAGCTGCCCAGGGCAGGGCCCCAGCTGCTCTGGGCGGGCACTCAAGGGCGCCTCCGCCTATGGGAGGGCCCTTCGGGCCGCCACCGCCCCTAGGAGCGCTCATGGGGGCGCCATCGCACCTAGTAGGTCCCATAGGTGCGCCAACACCCTTTATGGAGGACCTCTGGGGGCGCCGCCGGCTTTGGGAGGGCCTCCTAGGGACGTCGCCGCCCTGATGATTGTCCATAAAGGGAACCACGTATCTGGGAGGGCCCATGGAGGCGCCATTTCACTTGTAAGAACCCCTGGGATGCCATCATCCCTAAAAGGGCCGCTGTGGTAGCAGATACCCCGCAGAGGGCCTCTGTGGGCACCAATGCCCTTGGGAGGGCGTTTTTGTTCGACACCACCCCAGGGAATTTTCCTGGAGGCACCACCACTCCTGGGAGGGCCCTTGAGGGCGCTGACGCCCCTTAGAAGGCACCTAGGGATGCCGCCGGAACTGGGAAAGTCCTTGGGGGTGCCAACTGCCCTGGGAGGGCCCCTGAGGGCGCCCCCACACCTGTGAGGTCCATTGGTGGCGCACCAGCACCTAGCAGGTCTCCTGGGGGCAGTTGTTTTTGCTTTATTTAGAACTCTTGGAGATATTTTGACGTTAAATAAATACGATTCCAATCGCATTTCCAGTATCATTTCATCCTGAACAATGTAAAGCAGAACAAATATCCAACAGCAAAACATAAGTTGGGGTGTTGTGTTGACTGACTGCTGTTCTCCTATTGGCTGTAGTTCGGTGGATTTACGTTTTTGTCCACCAATCATAGTTAAGTATGGGATTGTTGGACATGCACGACAGAACGACCTTTCCAAGCTATAGAGCTCCCAGGAGGGTCGCCTCTGGTAGGTAGGGCCCTTGGGGACTCTGCCGTTCCTGGGAGGGCCACTAAGGGCGCCACCGCCCTTGGGAGGGTTCGTGAGGGCGCTGCCACACATTGGTAGCTCCCGTAGGGGCAAGCTGCCCAGGGCAGGGCCCCAGCTGCTCCTGGGCGGGCACTCAAGGGCGCCTCCGCCTATGGGAGGGCCCTTAGGGCCGCCACCGCCCCTAGGAGCGCTGATGGGGGCGCCATCGCACATAGTAGGTCCCATAGGTGCGCCAACACCCTTTATGGAGGACCTCTGGGGGCGCCGCCGGCCTTGTGAGGGCCTCCTAGGGACGTCGCCGCCCCGATGATTGTCCATAAAGGGAACCACGTATCTGGGAGGGCCCATGGAGGCGCCATTTCACTTTTAAGAACCCCTGGGATGCCATCATCCCTAAAAGGGCCGCTGTGGTAGCAGATACCCCGCAGAGGGCCTCTGTGGGCACCAATGCCCTTGGGAGGGCGTTTTTGTTCGACACCACCACAGGGAATTTTCCTGGAGGCACCCCCACTCCTGGGAGGGCCCTTCAGGGCGCTGACGCCCCTTAGAAGGCACCTAGGGATGCCACCGGAACTGGGAAAGTCCTTGGGGGTGCCGACTGCCCTGGGAGGGCCCCTGAGGGCGCCCCCACACCTGTGAGGTCTATTGGTGGCGCACCAGCACCTAGCAGGTCTCCTGGGGGCAGTTGTTTTTGCTTTATTTAGAACTCTTGGAGATATTTTGAGGTTAAATAAATACGATTCCAATCGCATTTCCAGTATCATTTCATCCTGAACAATGTAAAGCAGAACAAATATCCAACAGCAAAACATAAGTTGGGGTGTTGTGTTGACTGACTGCTGTTCTCCTATTGGCTTTAGTTCGGTGGATTTACATTTTAGTCCACCAATCACAGTTAAGTATGGGATTGTTGGACATGCACGACAGAACGACATTACCAAGCTATAGAGCTCCCAGGAGGGTCGCCTCTGGTAGGGCCCTTGGGGACTCTGCCGTTCCTGGGAGGGCCACTAAGGGCGCCACCGCCCTTGGGAGGGTTCGTGAGGGCGCTGCCACACCTTGGTAGGTCCCGTAGGGGCAAGCTGCCCAGGGCAGGGCCCCAGCTGCTCCTGGGCGGGCACTCAAGGGCGCCTCCGCCTATGGGAGGGCCCTTCGGGCCGCCACCGCCCCTAAGAGCGCTCATGGGGGCGCCATCGCACATAGTAGGTCCCATAGGTGCGCCAACACCCTTTATGGAGGACCTCTGGGGGCGCCGCCGGCCTTGGGAGGGCCTCCTAGGGACGTCGCCGCCCCGATGATTGTCCATAAACGGAACCACGTATCTGGGAGGGTCCATGGAGGCGCCATTTCACTTGTAAGAACCCCTGGGATGCCATCATCCCTAAAAGGGCCGCTGTGGTAGCAGATACCCCGCAGAGGGCCTCTGTGGGCACCAATGCCCTTGGGAGGGCGTTTTTGTTCGACACCACCCCAGGGAATTTTCCTGGAGGCACCACCACTCCTAGGAGGGCCCTTGAGGGCGCTGACGCCCCTTAGAAGGCACCTAGGGATGCCGCCGGAACTGGGAAAGTCCTTGGGGGTGCCGACTGCCCTGGGAGGGCCCCTGAGGGCGCCCCACACCTGTGAGGTCCATTGGTGGCGCACCAGCACCTAGCAGGTCTCCTGGGGGCAGTTGTTTTTGCTTTATTTAGAACTCTTGGAGATATTTTGACGTTAAATAAATACGATTCCAATCGCATTTCCAGTATCATTTCATCCTAAACAATGTAAAGCAGAACAAATATCCAACAGCAAAACATAAGTTGGGGTGTTGTGTTGACTGACTGCTGTTCTCCTATTGGCTGTAGTTCGGTGGATTTACATTTTAGTCCACCAATCACAGTTAAGTATGGGATTGTTGGTCATGCACGACAGAACGACCATACCAAGCTATAGAGCTCCCAGGAGGGTCGCCTCTGGTAGGGCCCTTGGGGACTCTGCCGTTCCTGGGAGGGCCACTAAGGGCGCCACCGCCCTTGGGAGGGTTCGTGAGGGCGCTGCCACACATTGGTAGCTCCCGTAGGGGCAAGCTGCCCAGGGCAGGGCCCCAGCTGCTCCTGGGCGGGCACTCAAGGGCGCCTCCGCCTATGGGAGGGCCCTTAGGGCCGCCACCGCCCCTAGGAGCGCTGATGGGGGCGCCATCGCACATAGTAGGTCCCATAGGTGCGCCAACACCCTTTATGGAGGACCTCTGGGGGCGCCGCCGGCCTTGTGAGGGCCTCCTAGGGACGTCGCCGCCCCGATGATTGTCCATAAAGGGAACCACGTATCTGGGAGGGCCCATGGAGGCGCCATTTCACTTTTAAGAACCCCTGGGATGCCATCATCCCTAAAAGGGCCGCTGTGGTAGCAGATACCCCGCAGAGGGCCTCTGTGGGCACCAATGCCCTTGGGAGGGCGTTTTTGTTCGACACCACCACAGGGAATTTTCCTGGAGGCACCCCCACTCCTGGGAGGGCCCTTCAGGGCGCTGACGCCCCTTAGAAGGCACCTAGGGATGCCACCGGAACTGGGAAAGTCCTTGGGGGTGCCGACTGCCCTGGGAGGGCCCCTGAGGGCGCCCCCACACCTGTGAGGTCTATTGGTGGCGCACCAGCACCTAGCAGGTCTC